ATATATCTTCGTCCGATTTGCCTTTTATTGTGCACCAAACGTGTAATATCAGCCAAAATAGTATTGAATTTTCCACATACAACCAAATTAGGCCTGAAAATAAGTATGCCAAATTTGATCGAAAACGGTTCAGATATAGCTATAGCTTCCATATATATTGTTCATCCGATTTGTTATTTTTGTTACCCGCAGCCATAATTCGCACTCCGTAACGACGATATTCAGGGAAATATACCAAATACAGCTCAGAAATATCTTTGCCAAATTTTATCGAGATCGGTTCAGATGTGGATATCGCTCCCACATATATCTTTATCCGATTTCAAATTAATTATGCACCAAATGGGCAATACAAGTCCGAATTTAAAGATACAAATGCTTCGACATATTTAGTCCTCTGAACTTTAAATTTTAATTATAATCATAGCTTGTAAGATTGAATTCTCCCATAAAAACTTTTAATTGTTATGTGGAGCTCTTCTAAATTAGCAAAGTGGTGTAGGGTATCATAAAGTCGGACCGCCCGAGTTTAAGACTTTCTTTACTGTTTTTTGTTTTTAAGTTTGACCTTATGGTTGGCTGTTGGTTTTTACCATTTTGGCGAAGAAGAGCGAACTTCAAATATAACTTTATGCTAATTTTCTAATCTAATAATCAAAATGAATTAATACAAAATATGTCGGTGAATTTTGCCAACATTATAATATATTACAAATCTGGTAATATAAAGCGAACCGTTGTTTCATACCATTCCATACACACAGAAACCCTAATATTTTGAAATTTTATAGAGAGCTTTGGATTAAAGCTTTACGCCCAATTTGAGCTTTTCCATCTTTTTAAATCAAAAATATGTTAAGTAATTCAAAGCTTTTTAATGTGGCGAAATTTAAGAGTCCTTTTGAGTGCGGATCAGACTAAAGTCCTCGAAAATGTTGGCTGACAACCCAAAACTCGTTTGGGGTTTTAACCTACAAATTGAATACTATCATATCCATTTAGAATTTTCCACACCGTAGATTGACTGTTGCACAGTAACACTTTAAAATTTGCGGTATGAGTTTAAAACATTCTTCCAAATATAACGACTCGATTTTTAATTTTTAGTAAATATGGATATAAATAATGCATTCATTTCCCATTTTAAAATCGCATGTTGTCATCCTACTTATATTTTCCTGAAAATTACGTTCACTTGCAGAAAATGTCATGTTTGGTTCATTTGAGCAAAAGGCTAATCTTTGTTTTTGACCGGACCACGAGACCATGACAATTTTTCACGCTAAAGTTGTGGTCACTTTCAAGCGCTGATTGTTATCCGATAACCATCCAAACCTAGCCTCCATGCAAAATTTCGGATGGACACACATAGCTAGATCGCGTCAGCTTGACGAGATAGGAAGATACATATATAACATCGTGGATCTAGGATAAACCTTTTTGACCCAATCAAATCATATAGTGTTGTAGGGTATAAAAACTCGAATTCGACTAAAATTGGATTCCTTGGAATTTTTGTATTTTTTTAATTTTTCACTTAAAATATATTTTTTAGGATATCCACCAAATTTTGCTTATGTTATTATTATTTTTTTTCAAATATAGATCGCGTTTTTTAATGGGTGGTATTGCCCATTCTTTATGTTTCCTTTCCCATCGTATCGATCGATAAGTCCTTTGGTATGTACTCAAAACCGTAAACCTTTGAAACAAGTAAGCAAAGGCTATAGCCGTGTGGGGCCGACAAAACTACAATATGTTAGAAGCCTCCTTATGTCAAAATCTATATTGGAAGATTTCGCTTTTGAAATTGTGTCATTGAGCACTGCTAAATATAATGCAATGGTCATCTGAAATGCTAGACTTCTTCCCTGTCCTTAACTCTATTCTTATGCAAAATTCCGTGTCGTTATAACGGCTGCAAAATTAGGAACATTTTTCAATCCTAAAAATATTGCGTACATCTTTAAAAACAATAGGCCTAGCCCTTCTGAGCGTAACCCTACCATTATGAAATTTTTCGAGAGGATCGGACGATAATTGCAATCTATATATAATAACACCAACCTGTGTTGTAAGGTGAAAAAATATTACAAAATATAAACTTCAATATTAACATTAACAAATTAACATCGACAGACAGGCAGACGTACACACGGACGGACGGACATAAAAGCTAGATCGACTCAGCTTGGCGAGATAGGAAGATCCATATATACTTTCCTATGTGGGAAACCAATATTTCGAGGTGTTACATAATTTTTAGCCCTAATCAAACTTATAATACCCCTAACACAAAGTGTTGTAGGGTATAAAAATTGGATTTCGAAAAATAAGTTCATTCAGGACTTTGCGCAGGCCGACGTCTACTTTCCGACTTGTTTGTTTTTTATTTTTTTACTTTTTTTAATGTTTTGAGGAATATTAGAATTGGTTTGGAGTCAAATTATCTTATAGTATAGAATCTTAATTAAGTTAATCATTGGATCCCAAGTCCTTTAAAATTCCAGAAGTTTATTGAATACACATTTTAATAATTTGTCTCTTCTCTGATTACAGGTAAGTCCTCATTCTCTTACAAATATATGGTAAGCGCAACAAATTTATGTGAACTATAGAAAATTTTACAAACATAAATATATAAATAATAATAAACAAGTTTAAAAGCAGTAAGTTCGGACGGGCCGAACCTTGAATACCCGCCACGATTTGGAATGAATTTTTTAAATTTTCAAAAAAATAAAACCCATTAAAAATTCTGTTAAAATCTTAAAAATTCCGAATAAAGCCATTATATTGGGGTCTATACGACGTGGTCCATATTCAAATTCGCAACTTGAAATAAATGGTGACTAATGTAGCTAAAATCATCAAAATATCGTATATAGGGAGGTGCCGTTATATCGGAGCTGTGCGAAGACCTGGACCAGCATAGACAATTTTCTGTCACAGGCTGTAGTATCCATTACGATCTTTAAATACGACATCTCAAACAATTTCGGTGAGGATTGTACCTAAAATCATCAAAATACCGAATACTGGGAGGTACCGTTATATGTGGGCTATATGAAGACATGGACCTGCACAGACAATTTTCTGTCTTAAGCTGTAGTATCCATTTCGAACTTCAAATACCAAATTTGAAACAATTCCGGTGAATAATGTCGCTAAAATCATTAAAATACTGAATATATGGAGGTACCGTTATATGGGGGCTATATGAAAACGTAGACCTCTATGGTCCGTTTACGAACTTAACCTGCCGACAAAATAAACATAAGTAAATAAATTAAATATAAAATGTAAATAAAATAAATACAAAGGACACTTTTTATTTACGTTCCACAAAATTTACTGTTTGAAGCTTATTTCATGGAAATATTGACAACGACTGCGCCACAAATAGTCTATCTTCTTAGTCCAATTTTGGCATACCCTCTCACGAATACATGCTTCTATGTTGTCTTCAAATGCGTCAGTTGAACCACTCTCTCCTGTATTGATATGAACATTAAAATAACCCCACAGATAATAGTCTAAAGGCGTTTAATCGGACAATCATAGCCGTGACCTCCCAATAAGTACATTTTTATGTGATGTAACTATCTGTGGCGTTTTCGTGATGCATTTTTAGGTTTTGCAAAACTTCTAGGTGACATTCAAAATCGACAATTCTGCTTATTTACGTACATATTGAACCAAAAAATTAGCTTCGCCGCTGAGTGAAAGAAGTGCGCGATGAAATTTCTTAACCAAGCTCGCAATTTGATAACGAAACTCAATAATTTGCAAGCGTGGTCCGTTTATGTCTATAATTATAGACCAAACTGAAGACATTTGACACTGAAACAAAACGTGCGTGAACTATTTAAGCCAGCCGTGTAATACCTAAAAATCGCCCTTTATTGTATTTTTTCGCAAAAAAGTTTGTTACCTCACACCGAACCAAAATCACAGAAAAATCGAATTCGATTATCTCAAAAGGAACGCACGTGGAATTATTCCCACAAAAATAAGCTATAAATAGAAAATACTCCAAATTGGCCATGGAGTTATTTATAGGCCAATTAATTTTATTGGACTACCTATAATACCAATTCGATGATACAGACGCACACACGATCGATTGACAAATTAACAAACCATTTATTTAATTATTCAACAATTTTGCATTCAAATCGTTAACTTAATTTTGAATTTTTAATTCTCCACATCAGGTTCCCCAAAACAGAATGAAGAATTATACTTACAAAACAGATCGATATTTACGACATACTATTGGAATATTAATTTTTTTTTGCGGAATTCCCCCTCTGTAATAAAAACAAACATTGCGTTTGCAATCAAACAGGCGAAATCAAACAGGCGAAAAAACTCAGTCAGTCAGTTTCAGTTCATTGACATGGCGATTTTGATTCAGCGCACAGTGAAAGTGAAATAAATCTTGGCGATTACATATGCAATGTGTAGAGGGGGTGGGTAGAACAAATGCGGTTTTTGAATTTTTAGAATAATTTTGTTTTGGTTTTCGATGATTGATACAAATTTCTGGTCGACAAAAAAGGGGTTATTGAATGGCGCTTTTTATTGGGGAATAGAGGCGCCTCCTATTCGTTTTTAATTGACCAGATCAAAAAATATCATATCAATATGCAATATCAAAAATATCCTCAAAACAATTTTAATTTCATTTTTATTTTGGTTTTTTGTAATTATTTTTCAAACAGATATGTATTCAAATTTGATGTCATCGATTTTTGTCCCATATTTATTGCAAACTTTTTGTCATGCACAACATCGCGGTATCCGGTTCTTGCCTTTTTGTAATAAATTAGAATCGAAAATGCATGAAACAATACAGTTTGAAAAAAAAAAAAAATAATTAAAATCATTAAAAATTCCCAAAAAAAAGTTTGAAAATGAAAAACATTCTGGAAGAGGACAAAAATAATGAAAAATACATATATTGAATATTTCATTGAATATCTGGTATAAAAACAATATCAAATCATCGTAATGCAGTTAGTTGTCAGATCAGTGAATTACCACACGCATCTCCAGAAATTTATTGAAAAATTAAATTAACAAAAAAAATAAACAAATTACAAAATATTATTGAAATAAAATACTTCAGAATGAAAGGATTTGCAGTGATTAAGGTGAGCAAGAATGTTGTGGATATCTGTGAACATTAAAGTAAGATCCCGGTATTGGATTACAAGCTGGAGAAGAGTGGAAAAATTATACGCAAATTTAGTGATATACTGAAAAAACCTGTAGCAAATTGTGACACTTTTTAAATTTTCAAAGTCTGAATGCCTTAAAAATTTTTAAATATAAAAATTAAGCAAAGGCTATAGTTGGCGGGGCCGACTATGTGATACCCTACAACACTACAACATGTTGGAAGCCCCCTCATGTCCAAATCCGTTTCGGAAGATTTCGTTTTTGAAATTATGTCATAGAGCTCTGGCCCGATGTTACCCTAAGCCTTTTGACGAAGGACATTTGCCCAACATTTACGCACTCCGTCATATTGTTAGGTATTCAAAACAATTTCACACTTTCGTTATGGTCCATTTTATAGTTAAATATAATCCAATGGTCATCCAAAATAATAGACTTCTTCCCTGTCCTTAACTCTCTTCTTATGTTAAATTCCTTGTCGATTGGTTTATAATTATAAAAATTATAATTTTAATTTTTTGGTCAATTTGAACCCCTAAATGTACGTCTTCAAAAAAGCCATGAAAAATTCCATAAGAATCGGGCAATTGCGACCCTCACCACGTAGTGTTGCAGAGTGTAAACATTTTTAGAATTAAAAATTGTAAGTCAAGTTGAAAAAATGCGATAAAAAATATAGCAAAAATTCAAAAAAAAAAAAATGTAAAAATAATGTCACTATTTTATTGGCATTTTTTAGGCGATTTTCTAAGATTTTATACTTTTCTAGCAAGACACCATTTTGAATTGATGGGAACTGTGAAAATCAGACAATAAATCGGTTCTTGGCTTACAAGCAGAATAACTAATGTCAATTTATTTTACATATTTTTTACATATTTTGCTATATATCCAATATCTTGGCTATTAGCATCACCGTAATGGTTAGAAGTGACCTTTAATGTATATGTGATTTGGCAGGGACTAAAAATATTCGTGGTTTAGTGGCCATTTTCGTATTTTTGACATAAAAGTTATGGTTTATTTTAGTCGCCCAATATTGTCCAATGGCCTCCCAAATTGGCAGACTTCTGGCCAGCTCTAAACTCAAACTCCATGTCGATTGGTTCATAATTGTGGCCTGTAGAGCTACAGCAAAATCAGGAAATTATTCTGTTTTTGTTCCATTTCAATCCCCTAATTATTTTGTGAACATCTCCAAAACAATAGGCTTCTACTCTGAACCTAACCCCACCTCCATTTTAAATTTCGTGAGTATCGGGCCATAAATTGCGACCTGTAGCGTGATTGCACTTTAATATGGACGGAGGACATACACAGCTAGAACTTGGCGAGATAGGAATATCCATACATAACATCCTATGTGCAGGACCAATATTTCGCGGTTTTACATAAATGTTGGTCCAATCAAACTTATAATACCTCCAACACATAGTGTTGTAGGGTATTATTAACCGTTATTGTGTAGTTTCCGAAGCCAATATTACTCATCTCGTATCTGACCTAAGTCTAATTTTTAGGTCCAGATTTGGACTTTATGTGTTTTTTTTTTTTTTAAATTTTCAATTGTGGGCGAGGTGCCATAGTGGTCCATATACAAGTTGAGATTAAAAAAAACTGCAACAAAGTTAAAAGTCATAATTTTAACATTTTTTTTTTAAATTTTGTTATTGCAAAATGGTCAGTTTTTTTTTTTAAATTTTATTGAATGAAAACAACAAATGTCGGAAGTAGCATCAAATTTCAGAATAAGTTTAGATTTGTTCGAACTGGCCACCTTTGGCACGAATTATGGCCTTCAAACGACCAATGAAACCATCACACGTTGCCCGAATGTTGCTCTGCGGTATTTTGGGCCATTCCAGTCAATGCGCTTGCTTTGGGTGATCGACACTTTGGTATTTTTTAGTGCCAACCTTGCTTCCCAAAATACTCCAGACACAATAGTCCAACGGATTGGTATCCGGAGATATTGGTGGCCATTGTGCGCAGGAAATGAAACGAGGAACCTCATTTTCTAACCATTCTTGGGTGGTGCGTACTGCGTGCGATGGTGTTGAGTCCTGTTGGAATGTCCAAGGTCTGCGGCCAAAATGTTTGCGTGCCCAAGGCCTTTATACACCTTCCAGAATATTTTCGCGATAATATTCGGCATTTATCTGATGCCACGGTCGATTTAAAGCGGGCGAGCGGAGAGAGACCATAGGCTGTTATGGCGGACCACACCATCATCATGGCCGGCGCTTGAGTTCTGGTGGCCAAGTAAACACAATCATTTTGTTGGTTTACAAACTGCTGGACAACGAATGTTTTTCGGCAGTTCACCACTTTCAGCCAAGCGACACAACTCTTTTGCTCTTTTGAGTCTATTTTCTATCTGTTGCGGTGTAAGTTCCTTTACTTTTTGGAATTTCAATGGCTTTTCCTCGATCTCAGTTTTCAATATTTGCCGATTGCAATATTGCGATATGTTCAGCTCACGAGCCAATTTTCGGCCAACGTGACGCGGTTTTCGATCAAGTCACCTCTTTACTTTTCGAACTATTTCTGCTGATGTTGCTGTTTTCTTCCGTCCACTTCCGTGACGTCGGGCTACGCTACGGTAACGAGCGACGATACGAGACACAAAAGATTTATTCACATTTAAATGCTGGAGTGCTCTAACGATAGCCACTAGTGGTTGTCCAGCCAAATATAAAGAAACCACACTATCACGGTTAAATTCCATCCCGAATAAATATTTTTTAGGAAAATTCCCACCAAAAGGTTTTTGTACTCTTTTAAACAATATAAGGAGCTGTCACTGGAATAATTTTAACAGCTGTCGGACTAGTGGCTTAGAAATGACAGCAGTCTGAATTTGGTTGCAGTTTTTGCATCTCACCCTTAAGTATTGCAAAGTATGAAGCTTTGTTGATGAGGCAACAGAAGGGTTAATGTGCTTCGTGAATATTAAAAATGTTGACACTTTGTGGGAGAGGAGTGGACCGATATATCCCATTTTCACACCAGACCTTGGGTATTGTTATGTCTGAAATTTGAATATAATCGGACTCACATTTTATATGAGTTATAATTATTCGAAATTTTAACCCCTTAGGGTGAGGTACTTGATGGAGTGGACCGATATTGCCCATTTTCACACCCCACGTTGCACTGGAAATGGCAAAAGTAAGATTTGCAAAGTTGGAGCAAAATCGGATCATCCTTTCTCTTTCTGTGCAGTAAAATATATTTTTTTTTTTAAATTTGGAAATTTTTTGAGGCAGGTACCTTAAGGAGTGGACCGATATAGCCCATCTCCGAACTCGATCTAATTTTGATAATAATATTACGATGTACCAAATCGGATATTCCCTTCGAGACTTATCGTGCGCACCAGTCTGACAGACGGACGGAAATCGCTAGATCGACTCCAAGTGTCCTGAAACGGATTTGGTCCTAAGTGGACAGGGGTCTAAAATCGTTATTTCGATGAGGCAAGTTTTGGCCGTATAAAATTATATATATATAGCCATATGTGTGAGAGTACACATATCCTTTAACAAGTACCTATATGGGGCAACTCGTAAATATAACATTCAGGATTTTAATTTAGAATTTTAAATGTTGAATGTATGTCCATTTAGGTTTAGCGCATATGTAAGGATTTGATGGGTTGTTTCAGGTTTCAGGCTTATTACCTTGGATATTAGCTCGATTTATTTTGAAAAATACATTCAAGAGGCCTATCTTGGTTATAGGCATGGTTTCCTTAGACCTTTTTGTAGAGGCATATCATTGCCATAAGAATTGATTCCGTCGAGGCATGTAATGGCCAAAATCGTATTTCCTATATGCCTATCATTTTAGTTTTCCTCGTGGTAAGGTATCTATTTCATCGACTCAAAATTATGCTTAAAGGCCTTATTATCTTTCCTTTGAACTCACATATTAACAGGCTTGACATTTCAAGAATTCAACGTAGATCGATGAAATAAAACACTGCCCCATTAAGTTCTATTACGTAATTGGCTACTGCAAATTTTTTTTGGGTTTGGTTTTTTGATCCAATATTGCTATTGGTTTCAAGTCAATCTCTTTTTTATTTTTACTGACAAATTTTTAATCGTTTTCTCCTCAAATTACCAGCTCTTCGCCTTGGTGTCCATTGCAACAGTGGTTTGCGCTGGACCCCTTCCCGGAAACTACGATATGGTTATGGTCGATGATAATCTACCCTCCGAATCGATACAATTTCAAAATTTCGATACCTTCTACAATGCAGAATCGGAAAATAATCCAATGTCGGAATTGGAAATGATGGAAAGTCGAGGTGTGCCACACGTTGTGAGGCGTAAGGTTGCCTTTTTGAGGGCACCACAAGCTCTCAGTCAAAAGGAAATTGCTGCTCGTGCCCATGATGAGGAATTCGATGTGGCTCGTGAGAAAAGGAACCAACGTTCGTTAGCAAAGGGTAACACCAAACCCAATACAAATGGTTTGGAATGGGAGGAGTTTGATTATGATGCTTATGTGAAACATTAAGAGAGGAGGAGGATCGGCGATGATAATCATTGGAAATGATGATGAACGGCATAATGATGAAACGGACAATGATATTGTAGAATATGCTTGACGTGGCAGAGGAGAACGTTGTTATTGTGCTATGGAGGTTTTCTGTTTTTTATGATTATTTATTTTTATTATTTTATTTCTTGTTATTTAATATTTAAGTTAAAAATAGACTTAAGGCAACTTAAAAAAAAATAAACATTGGCAATTACAAACAAACAAAAAATGAAAAAAACTAAGACTTGTTTGTTTTCTATGTAGTTTTTTAATTATTTTTTTATTATTATATAATATTTAAAATTATGTTTTACAAATTTATGAATACTATGGGAAAAACTTAGGGTTCACTCTTCTTCTACTTAGATTATTACGTAGCTATAGGTCGGTAATACCTGGATGCCCTTAGGCTTGGGATTTTTTATGAAAATTAATAGAAATATCCCTCCTCCACTATTGTCTCTTTATACGGCGTTAGCCTTCTCTCCAATGGCCGATTCCGGGAGAGCTCCGCAAAGGTGGCATTCAGCGATTCATTGGTTTGTTCGCAACAAAATTGTGTGACATTATATTTTATATTTTTCAATTTCAAACGTTTTACCACATCGTCTTTGTTGTTGTTGCTGTGATTTTTGTGTTTTTGTATTAATTTTGTGGGCTCGATTGCCAAACGATATATGGCCTCACCATTTTGATTTAAAACATGTTCCAAATCCGGTTCGTTGTCAATGGTGTTACCGACCTGTGTTGTGAAGCTACTGCTGTGCAACTCTTCATTACAAACTTTGTGGTTCGATACGAAATCAGTGGTGAATTTTGAATAATTTTCTGTCACCATTGGTCCGTCGTGATTTGATTCGATGTGTGTGGGAACATGAAAATTGGCTTTGTTATTATGAAACTGGTTGTGGTTCGAAAGGTCATCGCTCTTTAAGGGGGAGTTTGAGAGTTGTTCCTTCCCTGTGGTGACATGAGATTCTGTGTGAATTTTGAATCCAGACTCAATCTTCTTTGGAGAATTGAAAAATGGTTGTTTATTTATAGGAGTTTGATGTTCAGTATTGGAAATTTCCAGGGTAGACATTTTCTGTAATGGAGCGAATGTGGGTAGTCCAAACGGAATCAAGGGCTTTTTGTAGATATAACCATTTTTTTCTTCTTTGGCCATAACAAGGGAAACAAAACTTAGCAATAGCACGAACAACTGAAAAATTAGAATAAAATCTAGAATTAGAATTTTTTAAACACTTTTTCTAGAGGCCCATCTTCGATATAGGCCTCTATTTTTCTGGAGACCCATCTTTGCTATAGGATATTTTCTAGAGGCCCATCTTCACTATAGGCGTGGATTTTTTACCAATATTTCTGGAGACTCATCTTCACTAAAGGCCTGTATTTTTTAAACATATTTTCTAGAGGCCCATCTTCACTATAGGCGTGGATTTTGTTAAACATATTTTCTAGAGGCCCATCTTCACTATAGGCTTGGATTTTTTATAGACGTGGATTGTTTAAACATATTTTCTAGAGGCCCATCTTCACTATAGGCGTGGATTTTTTGAATACATTTCTAGAGGCCTATCTTCACTATAGGCGTGGATTTTTTATAGACGTGGATTTTTTAAACATATTTTCTAGAGGCCCCATCTTCACTATAGACGTGGATTTTTTATATGCCTGGATTCTTTAAGCATATTTTCTAGAGGCCATCTTTACTAAAGGCCTGGATTTTTTAAACATATTTTCTAGAGGCCCATCCTCACCATAGGCGTATATTTTTTAAACATATTTTCTAGAGACCCATCCTCCTCCATCCGTAGATTTTTTAATCATATTTTCTAAAGGCCCCATCTACACTATTGGCGTGGCTTTTTTAAACAAATTTTCAAGAGACCCCATTTTCACTATAGGCGTCGATTTTTTAAACATATTTTCTAGAGTCCCATATTCACTATAGGCGTCGATTTCTTAAACATATTTTCTGGAGCCCCATCTTCACTATAGTCACGAATTTTTTTAACATATATTTCCAGAGGCCCATCTTCACTTTAGACGTGGATTTTTTGAACATATATTCTAGAGGCACATCTTCACCATAGCCGTGGATTTTTTAAACATATTTTCTAGAGGCCCCATCTTCACTATAGGCGTGGATTTTTTAAACATATTTTCTAGAGGCCCCATCTTCACTATAGGCGTGGATTTTTTAAACATATTTTCTAGAGGCCCCATCTTCACTATAGGCGTGGATTTTTTAAACATATTTTCTAGAGGCCCCATCTTCACTATAGGCGTGGATTTTTTAAGCATATTTTCACTATAGGCGTGGATTTTTTAAACATATTTTCTAGAGGCTCATCTTCACTATAGGCGTGGATTTATAAATATATTTTCTAGAGACCCATCTTCATATTTTCTAGAGGCCCATCTAGGCGTGGATTTTTAAACATATTTTCTAGAGGCTCATCTTCACTATAGGCGTGGATTTATAAATATATTTTCTAGAGACCCATCTTCATATTTTCTAGAGGCCCATCTAGGCGTGGATTTTTAAACATATTTTCTAGAGATCTATACTAGTTATATGAATATAGTTATCATCAGTATGTCACGATCTAGAAACTCTTTATTAAAGTAATTTTGAATACAGGTTCACTATTCTGCATAGCCTCAATTAATGGTATCTCGGATTTGAGGTATTTTGAAGGTTTTAGACTCATTAGTTTGTCATTTTAATCTTTAAAGAGATATTTACCCTTTTTGCGGATAGAGTTTAGTGTGAAGGGAAATAACTGAGTGATCGCGAATCAACGCCTAAACGAACGGCTGAAGCTAAATCTTAAATTTTGCACGAGGGTCAGCCTTGATGCGTAGGCGTGTAAAGTTTTTGGAAATTCGTAAATGGGTAAAGTTATTGAAATTCCAAAAAAGTGTAAGAACTTACACCGCAACAGAAAGAAAATAGACTCAAAAGAGCTAAAAAGTTGCTTCGCTTGGCCGAAAGTATTGAACTGCCGAATTTGGTTTTCTTCGATGAGATAACATTCGTTGTCCAGCAGTTTGTAAACAAACCAAATGATCGTGTTTACTTGCCAAAGAGGTCAGCTGAAAATGTGCACCTTCGGTTGGCCAGCAGAGTTCAAGCGCCATAACCGCCGATGTTTGCTCTCCGCTCGTACTAATCGACCTTGGCATCAGAATAAATGTCGAATATTATCGCGAAAATATTCTGGAGGGTGTATTGGGCACTTGAACATTTTGGCCGCAGACCTTGGACATTCAGACAGGACTAAGCATGCGCCACCCAAGAATGGTTAGAAAATGAGGTTCCTCGGTTTATTTCCAGCGTACAATGGCCACCAAAATCTCCGGATATCAATCCATTGGACTATTGTGTCTTGAGTCAAAATACCACAGATCAACATTCGTACAGCGTGTGACGGTTTCATTGGCCGTTTGAAGGCCATAATTCGTGTCAAAGGTGACCAATTTGAACTAATCCAATCTTCGGAGATGGTTTCGGAAATGTGTACTATAATTGTACGAAATATACCAAACATTGGGATAGAGAGAAAAATCTGAAATTTAATATTGAGATTGCTGATGGTATCTGTGTTTGAGATTTGCCGGTGGTTTGGAAATATATGCTTTTTTTGTACAAAAAGTACTAAATGGTACTAAAGTTGGTATTGGGTGAAGGAATTGGGGTGGAATCCTCAAATTTGACATTGATATGTGGAATCGAGGTATTTAGGTGGTTTTGAGTATCGTATTGTACGAAAATTACTAAATAGTACTAAATTGGGTGAAGGGATAGGACTGAAATCCTTAAATTTGGTATAGACGTCATTGCGTTTATAATTGTTCGGAAAGTACTAAATTGTACTAATTCTGGTATTGGGTAAAGGGATAGAGTTTGAGTCATAACATTTGATATTGAGCTCTCTGTTATGGATATGGATAGGGGATCTTCAAATTTAACTATTAATAATTTGATATTAAGTGAAGGGATAAAGATACAATTCTGAAATTTTGCAACTGTTGGTATCTGAGGTTGAGATTTGGAGGTGGTTTTTGAAATGTGTCATATAATTTTACGAAAAGTTGTAAGGAGTTGGAATTCCGAAATTTAATATTGAGATCTCTGTTGGTATATGGTGGTGATTTTGCGAATGCGTACCATAATTTTTCGAATAGAACTAATTTTGGATCACTGTTGGTGTCTAGGATGGAGAGATGTAGATTGTTTTGATTATCCGTACTAAATGTTACTAAATTTGGTATTGGGTTAATAGATAATACCTGCAATTCTGAGATTTGGTATCGAACTCTCTGTTGCTTTATGATGTTTACATAAAGACACGTTGAAAAAGTTTTGGTCAGAAAAATTGGACGTGGAACCATCGTGCAATGGTTTACCTCCACTGTAAGCATCAAAAAAGATTTTGAAGATTTGTTGGTGTAAGAGGTAAAAAATTTTCTCTTTGAAAAAGGAAAAACTTGAATAATATGTAAAACCCGAACATATAGTATGATGTATAAAGTTTTAAATAAAAAAAATCTATCTGAATAAATTGTGCATTTTGAGTACTAAACAGACTTAACACGAACTGTTGGAACGAACCTTAAATTTTAAGGTGGATATTTCGCTGAGGAGGTATCGTGCATTTTCTAGATTTTTATTACCTAAATATAGCTGTACTGTCTGAATGCTCTTTATGTCCAAGACTCACTTGATCTGGGTATTTTTATACCCTCCACAATAGTATGGAGGGTATATTAAATTTATCATTCCGTTTGTAACACCTCGAAATATACATTTTAGACCCCACAAAGTATATATATTCTTGATTAGCATATGTCGATTTGGCGTCCGTCTGTTCGTCTACATGTCTGTCCGTCTGTGGAAATCACTCTAGCTTCCGAATGAAATGAAGTAGGTTGATAAAATATTACTCAAATGTATATTATGTCTGCAGGACTTTTGGTATTGAAAATTGACCATGTAGATCCACGTTTTGGTATACATATGTGGTATTTTTATGATGCAGGTCCACGGCATCCTATAGACCCTAATATAACGGTTAAATTCGGTATTGAAAAAAATTTTAAATTGCCAAATTCGTTCCAAGTGGTGGAGGATATTCACATTTTAAACCCCTAATAGGTAGAACATATCCTTCAGGGTTTGGATTTTGAAATATATAGTCACAAATTTTTTAAATTAAATACTTTTCTGGTGAA